TTCCAAGTGTCAATATAATATCTAAATCTCATTTGAGAAATAGTATCCTAAAATACACACTTATTTAAATAAATAAATAAATAATGCAATCACAATGTATATGTATATATACATTTATTTATTTATTTATTTATTTATGGCTCACTTATCCATTTTTAAGCCATTCAAAATTTAAAAGCTTATTGTAACATTATAACCTAAACATTTCCACTCTAGTATTTTTCCTAGTAGTGCCATATATTATTCTACTTGTTATTGCAAATGCAGGCCATGGTAGTAGTTGATTACATCTTTATTCTTGGGATATTCAGACTTACAACCTGGTTAATCTGGGTTGTAATGGACTTGATTTATGATATAATTCCTATCAAGTCCATCCTTGTCATGGATGGTTAGCTTTGCAATAGTGTTTTCAACACCCAGATTGACAATAGGTTTTGCTAGGATTTTGCCATGCAACTTCATCATAGAACTAATAGCACTCTTAGGATTAGTTTTCTTTGCCATTGAGAACAGTATCTTTAATGTGACAGTACAAATGACATCATAGTGTGTTATAAAGAGAAGGTTGATAGGGTGTAATAGATTAGAGTTGCAACGTGCCTCCATCCATGTTTATGTCATGGAAAAACTAAGGAAATTTGCAAAGCTTTCATTGTACCTTATAAATAGTAATGATAGTCATATGGTGTCAAACTCAAGGCATATGATACTTCAGCAAGATTTTATATTGATTCCCGACTAATAAGGTGTCTGTGGCCATCAAAGGCATTTGCATGGAGTAATTTAAATCAGAAAATAATACATTACCCTAATTAAGCTAGGACTTTTACTAGTACTTCTTAATTTAAAGTGATATTTGCATCAGGGTAAATATATTCTTTTAGCTGGATATTCATCTTGTACTTTTTCCACTAATAAGCAAAGTGTTTATAGATATATGGACTTGTAACTCAACTAGCAATAGGTAGCATTTCCAGAAAATGCATTATCATAAAGGTATGACTAAATGAAAGATTCTTTAATAATTTTAAACTTGGTCTCACTCATTGAAGCATTAGTGCTTGAAAGAGAACATACTCTAATAATAAATATATTTATATACTAGTGCTTTAATGACCACTATATTGGTTGTTTCCTTCATATCCAGGATTTAAATTTAATGTTGATGACCATTGAGTCATGATGGCATCTTTTATAATCATATAGCTTTATTTTGTGAGGTTGTTAATTAGCAACAATTTGACTATTTTGAATGGTGTGATTGATTCCATTGCCGATTATGGTTTCTAACACTATAGTGGTAGAAATGCTTATCCAACCAATTTAAAAACTTTTTAAACATAAAATTAAAGAAATTTTAATTTAATTTATTTTATAAGAAACATATTTCTCATAATAAATTATTATCTCTAAACATGTTTGGACCATTATATACTTCATTTTCATGCCTAATAACTATATATGATTATTTTAAAAAATAAGCATATAAAAAATGTTTCATGTCAAATCAAGTGACATAACTAGAATTGCTAAAGATTACCTTTAAATTATTGTCCTTCATTTTTCTGCATTTCATCAAATTAAGCTGTTTATAGATCCTAAGAATATTCTGATTCTAGAATATTCCATCTTTATTGATTGCGCCTCCCCCTAACTACCACATAAACATTTACTTGTTGAATTTGTCTCAAGCTAGTGCCTTAGTCAAAATAAGCTAAGGTGTCTAAGAAACCTGTTCATATGGTCATACCACACCCTAGGAGATTGCCACAAACCATAGAATGTTTTCTTGAGATGACAAATAAAAGTTTCTCTTGCTAGATGAAACCTTCTGGCTGGGAGACAAAAACCTCCTCTTTCAACTCACTATGAATAAACATGTCAAGCTATTGAACTTCAAGATTCTAGAGAGCTGCAATCTAGAGAAAAAGTTGAATGAATAGCATCTCCATCATTAAGAAAATGTTTATAGGAAATCAACTCCCGCCACCTTCTCTATCTAAAAAGCACCAATGGCATTGAGCTTAATTTGAATACCCATTTAGTGCTAATAACCTTTCTACTTCTTAATAACGGAATTAAATCTCATATCTAGTTTTTCAGTAGCAACTAGTGCTCCTCCATGGCTACTCACCATTTTTTTACCTCTAGAGAAGTAGGATAGACTTTAGTTCAATCAAATCACTATAAGCAACAAAAAATAATGATTTAAGAGATGGTTTATTAGGGTTTAAATTTAAAATGAAGGCTTATGAATAAGAGTGCACCCTTTTTCTCAATTAGTTAAAATACATAGAGTTATGCATTCTTGGGTTTGATTATTAGGATGAAAGCAAAGATGAACCCAAGAATATTCATAAAAATATCCAATGATAGTTATAGCATATTTTGGATTTAGATAATAAGTTAGTTTTGATCCCATATGAGTTTTGATAAGAAGATATTTTATAACCAAAATAGTTATAACTTATTATCATTGGAGAATTTACAATATCTAAAGTCTAAGAGAAGCTCAAGGGTCAAGCCATAGAACTTCTATAGCTGAGTTGCTAGTAATGTAGAACATAATAGAGCTAATAGAGATATAATGGACATCTATGAATAATGTACTCTCCACAAATATAAAGACCTCAAGCCCATTGTCTTAGTTTACCTTTGTTTTTATTTTTAATATTTTTTTTGCATTTTTAGTCCTTTCTCTTGCCTTTTTCCCACTTTCTTTTGAGTTGAGTTCTTTAATTCAAGTTAAAAAAATTTAAGCTCTTACTTTTTTGTTCCTTTTTTTGTTTATTTTTTGTTTATTCTCTTTTCAATAGTCCTTAGAAGGTATTATGTTAGAGTCACTTCTAGCATCTTGGCCTTGGGTTCTTAAGCAAAACAATTTTTGATGCATTCCTCTAAGTTCTGATTCCAAAATATTTAATCTTCATGTATAAAAGTAGTGTTTGAGTGTGAGAGAGAATATTAAATGCATTTGCACATGTACATGAGATAGGGTTAAGGCTAACACTTATTTTTCTTAAAAAGAAATTTACAATTGTTTGATACATTTATAAGGACACTTTTGGACCAATATCCACAACTAACATTTAAGAATGGATGGTTTGAAATATTTGACCACATAGATGAATAATTTTGCTAGCTATAATGAAGAAAAATCTTGGTTTAAATTACTATAGCCCAAGAAAATATTATGAAAGTAGATATACAAAAATATTTATTATTATGACATTTCCTAAATTAATGATGCAAGATGACTCATATGAAAGGGATATGGTTTAGAAAATATTTAGAAATAAAAAACTGAAATGTTGTTAGACACCAAGTCAAGATAATAGGATAAAGAAAGGGTCCTACAATCAAGTGATCACCCCTTTAGCCAGTTGGCTTAGGGTGTAAGGGATAGGATCCTAATATTGGTATTGGAGCCCAGTTCAATTCTCATGGCTAATGAGTGGGGCAAGAATATTCAACATGGTGGATCTAGAGGGAGAATCAAAGTTTGGTAGACCCTAAAAGAAGGACCATAATGACTAGAGGGTGGCCTAAGTATAATCGTAAATGATCATTCCCTAATGAGGGGAGGATTGTTAGGCATTAGATTAGGATAATAGGATAAAGAAAGGGCCTTACAATCAAGCGATCACCCTTTTAGCCAGTTGGCTTAGGGTGTAAGGGATAGGATCTTAACAAATGCTAACAAAGAAGTTAAATTACTTATATATTTTAGATATATTCCAATCTTGTACTTAATGTAAATCCCTTTCTACTTCATATATTCTTTCATTTTATAATCTTGAAATAATTATTAAATAACAATAGTTAATCTCATAGTGAGTGATATAACACCCACTAATTCTCTCTTTTTTTAGTTCTTATAAAGTTGAATTTAGGAAAGATTTATAATAATAGCTTATACATTACTATATTAAAGTTGAAGAATATATGAAGGTGAAGGATTTGTAAAAAAATATTAAGAAAAATTATTATACTTTCAATAGACAGTATAAGTATTTGCTACAAAGATTATGTAATTGCTATTAGAGTTAATATATAGTAAATGTAAAGATAATGAAGAAAATGAGAATGTTATGCTAAATATTTTAATTGGAATTTTATGCATATAGTTAAAAAATTATTTGTTAATGTTTGGATAGAGTGTTTGCAATAAATAAAAATAGATGGTTTAAGTGTCTCCAAATTAACAAAAGAGTATTGTTATTTTAAATGAGAAGTTATAGGTATTGATGCTTAAAACTTTTAATTATAAATTCTTATACCTTTCCCTTTATAAGTGTAAAAACTATTAAAAAAACTTATACCTTCTTTATGATAAAGATAAGAATGTTTTTTTTTTGGATGTTATCATTTTTAGGATGGTAATTTCTCAACATTTTTGGAGGGAAAAATTGAAGAATTTTGATCAAAATAATACAAACATTAACTTTTAATACAAATACTATTATATAAAGTTTTAACACAATCAATATTAAAATGAAGAAGTATTTTACATAAAGATTTTTGAATCTTCTTATTCACTATTTATTACCTTAACTTAAATGTCTTTATTTGACATCAAACGAGTAATAAAAGTGTTTTTTGGGAAATTTTTTATATATTAAATAATGTTTTTATCTTTAATTTCTACTTAATACATTTCCAGATAAAGAAGATTTATAAATTATGATGGGCTAGCAATAAGGGCTGTAAAGGTCATGGCCCCAAGTCATTTGGCACATAGTTCGGTACTCATTCTCAAATTGCTCAAGGCACGAGAAGGTCGGCACAGATTCGTGCCGACCTTCCCGTTCATCATCCCTTAGATGCCGTATAAGCAAATAATGAGGAAGATTAAAAAGCGAGTGTTGCTAGTGGTTCTCTCATTGGTGGAGATGCTGGTTTTAAGAACTTTCAACTCCATTACTTAGACGACTCACGAGTCTGTTTCTCTTTTACTTTCGATGTGATGCGGAGCCGCGGACACGTTTGTCCATTTGATTGCTTTGACAGTACTCGAACCTTCAACCTGCCGGCTGTTGCCCTAAAAGGGCTTGGGAATGGCGCCCTAGGTCGCGCTGGAGCGCAGCGGCGGACAACTCCAGGTACGTGATCAGTCCTCTTGACGGCCGAATTCCCCAAGATCCAAGGCTGAATTGACGCATTCTCTGGCCAGGAGCTCCAGATTTCAGTGCTCGCGGCCATGGAGGGGACGCAGAGGCTGAGGAGGGGCGACACCTATGGGAGCTGGACAGTCCTCGGCGTCGGCCTGGATCGAGAGGGCGCCCTCGCCAAGCTTAGGGGACTGGAGATGCGGCACAAGCGTTGCGAGAGCCCCACGACGACGCTCTCAATTGGCATGGAGAGCTTGGGCGACAGTGGATCTCCGGGCGAAGCCGCCGCTCCTCCCCCTAGCCTCAAGAAGACCCTCTCCTGGAGCAACTTTGACAAGCTCTCGAGCTCGCCCGTGAGCATCAAGAGGAAGAGGGACGCGGCTGGAAGCTGGGAATTTGGCGAGCAGGAGATCGTCCTGGCGCTTGGGAGCTCGCCCCCGGCTAGACCCAGCGTCGCTCTGGGTCTTGGGCAGGCCGACAGTGGGAGTGGCAGCGGCAGTGCGTGCTCGCCATCGATCACTACCGAGTCGGACATCGGCTTGAAAAAGTTCTCGGTTTCGCTCCCTCAAGACTCGCTGTCGCTGAGACTCTCGAGAAACTCGGACGAGGACAAGGATGGTGGGCTCTTCCTGGGGATCAAGAAGGTTGTGGACGAGGGATCGTCGTCGGCTCGCTGGATCAGCGCCGGCGGCGTCATGCCCGGCTTGCTACGGACTCAGGCATCTCTCCCGGAGCAGGAAGAATATCACTCTCACTCGGAGAACGATCCAGACCTGGACATCGACGTGAGGACCGGTGCCGGATCTGACAAAGCTCCCAAAGCTTGCAAGTTCGCGGGGTGCGGGAAGGGCGCTCGAGGAGCCTCGGGGCTGTGCATTGCTCACGGTGGTGGCCGCCGCTGCCAGAAAGATGGCTGTAGCAAGGGAGCTGAGGGGAGGACCGCGTACTGCAAAGCTCACGGAGGTGGACGGCGGTGCCAGACTTTGGGCTGCACGAAGTCCGCCGAGGGAAAGACGGACTTGTGTATCGGGCACGGAGGTGGCCGGCGCTGTGCCTACGAGGGATGCACCAAGGCTGCCAGGGGACGCTCCGGCCTGTGCATCAAGCACGGCGGCGGGAAGAGATGCCAGCACGAAGGATGCACCAAGAGCGCCGAGGGGCTGTCCGGCCTTTGCATCTCTCACGGTGGAGGGAGGCGCTGCCAGGTTCCCGGCTGCACGAAAGGCGCTCAAGGCAGCACCATGTTTTGCAAGGCTCACGGCGGCGGCAAGAGGTGTATGATCGAGGGCTGCGGCAAAGGTGCCGAGGGGAGCACTCCGCTTTGCAAGGGACACGGTGGTGGAAAGCGGTGTATGTTCGAAGGTGGCGGGATTTGTCCGAAGAGCGTTCATGGAGGGACGCAGTTTTGCGTCGCACACGGCGGCGGGAAGAGGTGCGCGGTCCAGGACTGCTCCAAGAGTGCGAGAGGGAGGACTGCCTTTTGCGTCAAGCATGGCGGAGGGAAGAGGTGCAAGACGGAAGGATGCGGCAAGAGTGCTCAGGGGAGCACGGACTTTTGCAAGGCTCACGGGGGTGGCAAGCGGTGTACTTGGGGACAGGAAGGCTCGCTCTACGGACCCCGGGAGGGGAGCTCGGAGCTGTCCAAGGGGCCGTGTGACAGATTTGCGAGGGGAAAGCTGGGACTTTGCGCGGCTCACAGCTCGATCGTGCAGGAGGAGAAGGCTAGCGGGCTTGCTCCGGGGCTGTTCAAGGACTTGGTGTCGCAGTCGAGTTCCGGCAGCATCGTCTACCAGTCTACTGCTCCAGCGTCCTCCTCGGTTGTTCTTGAGCAGCAGAATCACTACAAGTTTCTACAGGAGGGCGGAAGCGGCGAGATCAACAAGTGCTGGAGCACGACGATCCAAGAGCAGCAGCAAGGATTCCATCATCCGGTGGTGGTTCCAGTGGCGACCAAGAGCTTGTTCGTGCCTGAGGGAGTTCCGGAGGGGAGAGTTCATGGAGGGGGTCTCTTGGCCTTGCTGGCTCAGCAAAGAAGCTCTGGCTGAGAGAGAGCTCCCAGGAAATTGGTTTGCCTTCTCTTGCGATCGAACGGGCGAGCGCGACGTGAGAGGTTTGTAATTATATTCATCTTTGCATTGGCAGCATTGTCCCTGTACATAGATCCCACGTCCCCTTGCAGCGAACCATACGAAATGGAGCTGTGTTTTTAAAACCATATAGAGATATTCCTGATGTAAATCTTAATAATGTACATAACTGTTTAATTACTAAACTCATTTGATTAATTTGATTAACTAGTGCAGTAAAAAAAACGAATTAGGTTAGAAATGCTAACCGTTGGATTTGGAGGGAGTTTCAACACGAGGAGAATCTAACGCTCCAGGTGCTTGGATGCGGCGGGGCTATAACTTCCGTGCTGTCGTGTTTAGATGAGATTGGACGAGAGGTCACTTTAGGCTGGGTGCATTGCAGCCTCTTATCCCATCCCTTCGTCATCCTCGTCTCTTTCTTTCCTCTTTCAAGTCCTTGCAAAATTTCTCTTTACGCCGGGGTCGGAGGGTAAAAGTGTGCCCGTGAATCACAAATGTGATTCAAATGGGCTACGTTCTTGGCTTCTAGGGTTTGGGCGATCGGTCAGAGAAGAAGAGGGGAAATCTATGGCGGCGTTGGTCGCTGGTGCCCAGGCGCTGGCGCTGGCGCGCGTTTCTTCCTCATTGTCATCTCCCTCTTCTTCTTCTTCTCCTTCTTCTTCCTGCTGTTCGCCTAGCAGTGAATGCTCGTCGTCATCGGGAGTGGTGAGCCTGGCGCCGCGCAAGAGGAGCGGATTGCCGTGCATTCTTCCCGAGAGGTCGGCTTACATGGGAGAGAGCGTGTCGGGATTTTGGACGCGCACAGGGATTTCGCTGCGGTGTAGCAGGCCCAGGAAGCCTCACGCCGGATGCAAGGCTTCGATCGGCGCGGCTGTCTTGGCCGATATTGCCAAGGAAACCGTGGTATGATCTCCTCCTTTTCCATCCAATTCTTTTTCTTCTTGCAATGGGGTAGCTCTAGAGCATTCCTCCGTGGTTGCGAGCGCCAATTCTTCTTGAGCCGGGTGCCAGAAATCAAAGATCTCAGAGCTGTCGTAGCTATGCTGGAAGAGATTGTATTGATCACAGTCGGTGTGGTTTCGGCAAAGACTAAGAAGAGCGCTTTGCTCGTTTTCGTGCAGAGTGCTATCTATCAATCGATCGACAGCGTAAAACGTTGGCGAGCTTCTCGATCGGGAGGTAGTTGAAACGGGATGCATTTTCGACAGCATTTCTCGCTTTGATCGATATGTTCTGACTCAATGATTTGTTGTTTGTAGGCACCAGCAATTGGAAAGCCACGGGCAGATCCTAGAACAGTTGTTTCTCTGATTCTGGGAGGAGGAGCCGGCACTCGGTTGTTTCCCCTCACAAATAGACGAGCAAAGCCTGCTGTAAGAAAACGCTTCTTCGTTGTCTGCCAATTTTAATATAATGGTGCTCTTGACATGTTCACTACAGGTACCAATTGGAGGCGCTTACAGACTTATTGACGTGCCAATGAGCAATTGCATCAACAGCGGAATAAACAAAATCTTCATCCTCACTCAGTTTAACTCGGCTTCTTTGAATCGGCACCTTGCTCGGACGTACAATTTTGGTAATGGTGTGAATTTTGGAGATGGTTTTGTTGAGGTAGGCAGAACTTGAAAGCGCTGTTACTGTAAACGTTTAGAAAGCCTTTCGTTTTCAGGTTTTAGCTGCAACTCAGACTCCCGGGGAAGCAGGAATGAACTGGTTCCAAGGGACTGCCGACGCTGTTCGACAGTTCACGTGGGTTTTTGAGGTACTTTTGACTGTGCGAGCCTTCATTTTCTCGATCATGTTACGCTTGTTTTCAGGATACTAGGAGTAAAGAGATTGAGAATGTTCTTGTTTTATCCGGAGACCATCTGTATCGAATGGACTACATGGAATTCATTCAGGTTTACGATAACATGACATTTTTATTTGTTTATGATCCAGAATTCCTGCTGACTCGCAGAAACACCAAGATACTGGAGCAGACATAACCATTGGTTGCGTGCCAATGGACGACAGGTAGAACTAGCCACGTTTTTTTTTTCATTCGTGATACTTACGTGATTCTTTTCTGTGGTCTGAAAGCCGGGCGTCTGATTTCGGGCTGATGAAAATTGATGCCAATGGGCAGATACTTTATTTCAGCGAAAAGCCGAAAGGAGCTGATCTGAAAGCGATGGTATTATTCGTCAGCATGCGGTTTGTATACTAATTTGTGCATATTCTATTTTCCTACTTCCAGCAAGTGGACACTACTGTATTGGGCTTGACGCCTGAAGAGGCCATCGAAAAGCCGTACATTGCATCCATGGGAATTTACGTGTTTAAAAAAGATATTCTTTTGAAGCTTCTAAGGTACAAATTGTTGACTATAGATGTAGAAGATCTTATCGTTCTTTTCTTCGTAGATGGCGCTACCCTACAGCAAATGATTTTGGATCAGAAATTTTGCCTGCTTCAGCAAAAGAGTACAACGTGCAGGTTGGTCTTTCGTTTGTCTCTTGGTGAATGGTTGCTCTGTACTATCAACAGCGTAGTTCACAGGCTTATTTGTTTAATGATTACTGGGAGGACATCGGGACGATTAAGTCGTTCTATGAAGCAAATCTTGCTCTTACTTGCCAGGTAATACTACAGTGCTCTTTTTACTCTTTCTCAAGATACATTCTATCTATGCAGCCACCAAAATTCAGGTTTTATGATGCAGCGAAACCGATATACACCTCTCCCAGATATTTACCACCAACTAAGATTGAAAAATGCCGGGTTCGTGTTTGTATTGCTAGTGACACTTCAGTGAGCAACTGTGTCTTCGGTAGGTTTTGGACTCCATAGTTTCGCATGGATGCTTTCTTCAAGAATGCAGTGTCACGCATTCTGTGATTGGTATTCGTTCTCGAGTCGAAGCTGGTGCTGAGATTCAAGATACGATGATGCTTGGTGCCGACTTCTACGAGACGGAGGCTGAGATAGCAAGTATGGTTGCAGAGGGGAAGGTGCCAGTCGGAGTTGGTCAGAATGCCAAAATAAGGTTAGCCGGTTGATTATGCAACTTCTACACAACTTACTTTTCCAAACACGCAGAAACTGTATTCTCGACAAAAATGTTCGAATAGGAAAGAACGTCGTCATCGCCAACAAAGACGTGAGACTAGATTTGATTGCTTCGTCTTGCTCTATGCTAATCCTTTGTTTTGGCGCAGAATGTACAAGAAGCAGAGAAGCCATCCGAGGGATACTACATTCGCTCCGGGATTACTGTGATATTGAAAAACGCAACGATTGCAGATGGAACTGTAATCTAGATATAGCTAGAAAGCAAGAAAGGTACGCGGTAAGTGTAGATATTCTCTCTCTGAGACAACTAGCTTCGCCGTGCAAAAATATATCTCTTGAGGATTTTGTTGTACAGGAAAACTCCTTAGAACTAACTTAGCTTGTCAAGGTAGTGACTCTTTTGTTTCATTCTGGACGTAAGCTCGTCCTTCATGCGACTGACCCTTCTCATTTTTCTCCTGAAGTTTAGATCCAAGTGGTGCTCGCACAAAAGGTACCCCGGCTTTGCTTTCTGTGAACACTTCCAACCATTCCCGTTTTTGCAGGAGCACAGCGTCTCGCCTCCTTGAACATCGGCAGGCTCCAAGTCAGGCAATCCGTCCAGCAGCCTCAAAGTTTTCGGGATGGCTCTCGGCGTCTGTGGCACCGGGAGCGTACCATCGTCCATCTCGTCAGCGTTATTCCTCACGCGAAACCGCCCGCGCTTGAGCTGTAGGAAGTAAGGATCCGTGCTCATGGTCGTCGCAACCTGTTCCAGCACAAGAGCCGGCTCCTCGCCGCCGCAGAGCCCCGAGATCATCATTCGTGCCAAGGCCTGGCGAGGAGTGAGGCTCGCATTTGGAGTCTGGGCGAAGACCATGCGCAGCAACTGAGATATTGGTGTTCCAGCCGCCGCCTCCTCCGCCGCTGCAAAAAGAGCTCCAATTCAAGGAAAGAGAAAAGGCAAGTTGAAGCTTTCATCTTTTTACCAAGAACTCTTCGAATCATCTCCTCCTGTGCAGCTGCTCGGCACGAAAAGTTTCAATGGAGAAAGG